AACTGGATTCCTCTACAAGGCTTTCATATTGGTCAGACTGAAAAATTGGACAGAATTTCATCTAATTTGGTCTCTAGAGGCATTAGGATGTCATCAGCCTATTCCTCCTACTTTAAACTTGCTGAACAAAACAGGGATAGGTTTAATCCAAAAGTTACCCTGCATTTAAACAATTATTCGGAAGCAAGCAGGACACTTAGCGATAAATGATGAGTAAAGGTGAGTATGTAATTCGAGAATACCGCCCTAATCCAGATTTACTTTAACTTAATTTATTTTCGATGCTTAGAAATACGTGTCAATTTATCAGTTGAAATCGAAGGGAATTTCCTAAACACAAAGCTAGTCGCTTTCAAAGTAAACATTGAAAGAATACCTGCATATACGAACTACAACAGAAGTTTTGGATGAACTATTATGTGAAAAGAAACTAATAAGAGGCCAATCATCTATCAATCATAAAAGTTATTTCACATTTCAGGGATAAAGTAAGGGCGTTACCTCATATCTTTTATTTGTTCGTGGAACAAAAACAACGTCAACAACACCCCTATGAATACACAGCAGTAATGGAATTCTAAATTTACTGTTAGATCAAGGATAATTAGCCTAGATATGAGAGCGCTGATAAATAAAGTTATGAAATCTTTAAAGTAGTAACTATCTGATAGTGAATCTTTCAATCATATTCTATGACAAGGAAAAATGAATGCATTTCGCAAAGCCTGTGTAGTTCTGTTCATGAGGCTGTAATATTTATTATATGAAGTCAAAAGCTGATTACGAGGACTGCTAAGCCACCGCTTAGGCAGTGCGTCTAATTGTTACTACATGAGTGATATGAAAATGGTTGACTCTAACACATTTATAAGGAATACTGGTACTTTATATTACTTTGCTTGGATAGACTGTGGTTTTTTGCATAAAGGTCAGTAAATAATATATAGACAGAGACAATTGTGTAGTGTGTATCACAAAGTGTATTAGTTCAAGTCTCCGGATTTAATAAAGGTAAAAAGTGAAAATCAATGCGAATGGGTCGGAAGGTAATAATTGGGGCGGGAATAAATAACAATAAAGATTAATAAACTATGTACTTTTAATGAAATGAAATGTTTCAGTGTATCAGTACCATTGGAATCACTAATGAAAGTTGTCACATAAGATATGAAACTACTTATTTCTCATATTTCAAGAAGTTCAGCAGTGCAGAAGTAAATTTTCTACATATTAGGCCGGGTGGATGGTCAGTGAGTACAGAATTAGACCTATGCACATCAGCTGTGACAACACTGTTCAACATTTTTCCTTAGGCTAGAACATTTTATCTAAATTGAGGATGGCTCAGCCAGGCAGGCAAACAGTAAGCCGAAAAAAAACTCATATTAAGTAATCTGTAACATTCTCATATCATATATTTTTAACTGACACCTAGGAGTTGAATAGAAAGTCAGAAGAGATTTATGTGCTGCATAATCAGCGTTAGAAGAATGAAAAAAGTTTACCATTGTTATGAATTTTTCACTTGATATTAGAACCATTGATAGGCTCACTTCAGATATAGGTAGCCTACCACAATGTGAAATGGTTTAATCGGTGAAATTTGATTTGAAAAATATACTTAAAAATAGGGGGTATGGAGGACGTTAATCTGCAGGAGCTACATTTACACCATTATAAAATAAGCATAGCCAAAACTATTAAACCCTTTCTAATGAGACTAAAAATAATCATTCAGAATCGCGAAAATACTAGTGAATATTTAGGCTAGAAGTACTTCTAGCAACTAGAAGTCCGCTAAGTGATAAGTCTCAACAAAATTTTGGAGTTTTCAGCTCGTGTCGTACGTCTTCAGTCAACTGTTCTTTGACTTTCATTAAAATGGTAAACTCATCCTAAAGGATAGCAACTTACTATCAAGTATCGGTTTCAAAATCACATATCCAGATCAAATAGAATGTATTCACGTTTTGCGTTGAGGTCTTTTTGTCAAAAAGGCTAAAAACTCAATTTATTGGTCCAGTTCTCCTGCATAAAATAAATACTAGTAATTAACATGTAACCACAGCTTTGTCACACTGTTGTTATCATACTGCATGATGCTTTAACCATTTCCCTCCGAACAAGTGAGAAGAAAGAACATTCTGCTCCAACAAACTCCCAGCTTCTAGCCATGAAAGAAAAACACTGGCGATCATCATTTAAATTTCTGTCCCTTCCTGATTATACATTTGCAGCCACAGTTTTGGTTGCTTATATGAATCATAGTCATTTTAAATATCCGGTGCTCATTCAAGTTTATGCTCTTTCACAAACCCTCCAGTTTTGAGCGTAATTTAGAATTATATATATATATATATATATATATATATATATATATATATATATATATATATATATATAATTTTTAATATTATTCTTTGTTCCTTGAGTTCCTAGTGGAAAATAGGACTTCAGTAGCACATCCCCGTTTCACTCTGTTCTACACAGCATTTGAACCCGGCCCCACCACTCCACCACTCCTCACAAACCTTATTTTCTTCCTCACACCATCTCCTCCATGTCACCCTCAGCTGCGACACCCAACTCGTCGTTCCACATTTCGCTTCGTTCAACTCGACGGCCTGACCTCGTGTGTGATATCCCCAAATGGTCTTCTCAGTGTATGCTCAATCCAATCCAATCCATCTACACTTTCTTCTACATATTTGTTCGACGATAGGTTCTTACTCGACTTGTTGACAGCCAGCCAGAGTCCCTCCTTGCTTATTCTCATCATGCTGGCCATCCATCTCATCTTCAGTGTCAGTATCGAATGAGCGTAGGCACCAGCTGTTCATGTATGTCTGCAGTTTGTTGCAAGTGCTTTTCGTAACGCGTCAAGTCTCTCAACCATCACATAGAAGCACTGACGACTCGCTTGACTGACAATGGTGTTGGAGATCGGGGTCTTGTTCACGCTTTATACTGAGTGGAGTGGAGTGGAGTGGAGTGGAGTGGAGTAGATCTCCACACTGATTTCAGGTTAATGCAGGAAGGCCTGTCTTGCTGTCTTTCTGATCCTGACTGGCTTTGTCATCCTCATCTGTGCCGCCACCGCCACTGCCACCACCACCGCCACCGCCGTAGTTGAAACAATGCTACCTAGGTGGATAGGTGAAAGAGACAACTTCCCTCACATCTCTCACGTTCATGATGACTGGTGCTTGTTGTTGTTGTGGTTGTTGTGGTTGGGTATCCTCATCACCTCTGTCTTCTCTACATTCACCTGAAGGAAGTCTCGTCTTGTGGAAAGTCTTATCCATCTTGGTTTAGATGTTATCTCATTCATGTAGTTGAATGAATGCTAGATTGTTTACTCATTTCACCTGAGTTGTCTTTTAGTGGTATCAAGGCTATAATTTTGGTTCTGTGAGTCAAACCCTTCACTAAGCTTCATATTTATGTGGGTGGTAGGGAAATAAGGCAGTGAATAAATTGGCTAGTTCATTCGTGCTTCGTTTAAACACCTTTTTTTCACATTAAATTTGTTAATACGATACATTTTTATTTATTATAAAGCAAAATAATTATAATGTGTCACCATATGTTATACATCTGATAAACAAATCTAATATGGAATTGCATCCTCCTCAAGTGTTACATTTATATTAATCAAACTATGTTTTTATCCTTCTAACTGACCTTATTCATAGAACATACATGATAGGAATACAGTCCTTTCCTTCTTCTTCTATTGTTCCACTTTACCCTTCTTACTAACTTCACCTCTGAGAACAATAAACATGTTAGTAGTGCAGCACCAGTGAAATTCCGACTGACTGACTGCTAAGTTAAGGCGACCATCAGCTAGCTTGGCCATGAAAACTTCAGCTCAGGCTGAACTAAGTGATAAGACGAAAACCTCACCAACTCAAGACTGATATCATATGTCAGAGGATCATTCCATTCTATACCTAAATGCATACTGATTTAGTGAGTGAAATATATTATAAAGGAAGGAAAGGGCAGGATATTTTATGTTTTTTCTCAGAGTTAAGTGTATAATACTTGTTCAGCCTTTTGTCTAAATTTTTATAGTCTTCTATGAACGTAACTTCACTTGTGAGTTTATGCACGACGACGATTATCATCTTTATGCACGAAGACTGATTGACCAGCCAAGCCTAATTTTAGCAGTCGGTTCAACATTCAATTATAGGCCTTGTTTACTGGGAAGCTGTTAGATTAATAGGATGCTTCACTGTTCATCAGCCTTTATTCATGGACGATGAAATCAAGTTTCATTAATTTTATAATAAAAGTGTTTCGCCCATAACAAATAACTGAGCCATCAAAAAATCCCAGTTATTATTTGTCTCTGCTAATTGTTATATATACTTATAAGTAAGGATAAATAGAGAAATCTAGTTATAGTAGGGCATTTAGGTTGCCATGCTACCTATTCGTAAACACTGACATTCATAAACGGAAACATAACAGAAATAATCACAACGGATATATATATATATATATATATATATATATATATATATATATATATATATATATATATATATATATATATATAATTAAAGAGCCTGTATTTAATACGCGTTCGACTAAATTCCTCTCCAATCAAAATGTTAGAATTGAGTGTATTGCAATGCTTACACATGCCATCAGTAGGTAAATATGCACATAGGATGAGTTTGATAGGATTTTCAAACGGATAAATAGCTGTTTGAATATTTTCGAGGTTGTCTAAATTATCTGGGTCAAACAGTTTTCTCTGTCAGAGAAGCTAGAAAACACCCTCACAAGGAATACCTCATTTCAACTAACTATCAAAGTAATACCTACTTGCATTAAAATTTAAAACAAATATTTTTCCAATGAGCAAGCAGATGAGCAGTCAACCACTTACAGAACATAATTTGATCTACTCTGGAAACAGTCATGGAATTATAAGCTAGCTACTATGCTCAAAGTTACTGCATCAAACACCACCAGATTATACGCAGAAAAAATATTCTTGGATGTATTTTTCTAAATCTTAAGTCTTTATTACAAATATTTTTTTCTATTTAAATACTGATCAATTATTTAAAGAAAATTTACGAATCACAATGAATAAGAATACTAATAATAATCGTAACCATATTGTTACTGGTAGTTTCAGTAGCAGAAAGATTATCAAGTCAAATTCTCATTCACCGTATTCATTCTGCAATAACAATACTAATAATAGTAAGAGCCATCAAAATATAAAAATGGGTGAATTGAAAAATACATCACCTTGTACACCTGGAACTACATACAATTCACAACATAGGATATTACCAATTGTGAGAACAGTTTACTTTTATCAAGACAACGATTTGGACAACAGAAACAGTGGTATACGTCTAGCTATTCAACCGAATCACTATCGAAGTGTAGAGGCACTTCTAGAAGAATTGACGGGTAAAATGTCGAAAGTTGCATGTAACGGTCAGTGGATGTATGCACCAAAACTGATGAATAAGGTGAACTCGATGAATGACATACACCAAAGTAGTTATCCTGGATCATCTGACTATACATTGAAATCAAGGGGTATTTCATTGGACCGAAGATCAACGAATAAAACTAATCGTGTGACGGACTATAAACCAACGCCACTATCTTCCTCAACATCATATAACAAATTAGCACTGCATAACTGTTCATCATATTCATCAAAGTTGGAGCTGAATAACCTCAATAGTAGCAGTACCGTATTAAACAAAACAGCCAACTTCATTCATCTACCAACATTAGACACACTTATTGTGGACTCAGATGACGCTACTTTCTGGAGACAGTTGAAGCAAGTTAAGCGTATATATGTACGTTTGAATGGACAACCACGTACATATAAACCAGTGTTGATTAGAAGAAGGTACATTAAAACGCTTGATCAAGTATTACAAGAATTAAGCGAATTATTCAAAATCCCGATACACAAAGTTTATACATTAGAAGGTGTATTAGTAAGTGCTTCATTCGTTTTGTTGTTATTGCTGTTTTTCTAGGATTTCATACGCTTACTTCATTTTCATACAGTGAACAGAGTAACTGCAACAACAGCGCAAACCTTGAAAACGACGGTCTTTCAATGATAGATCAACAATGGTGTATATCCAGAACGTACTTAACCAACTACCACCAAATAAATATTTGAAAAAACGGGTTGTTTCCATCGTAATAAAATAGATTTGATATGAGTCATTTAGGCTGAGCGATGCATTTGAATAGATTAACAGAGTAGTTTCTAACACTTCTGTATCTTGTTGCAAGGGCGTATCGCATTACTTAGCTATATGGCCACCTTCCAAACTTCATCGACAGGCATCGTTCAGTACGTAGCGCTTAATATAAAAAAGCTACATTGGTCACCTAATGGTAACCAACTTGTGTATTGCTTTATGTAATCCATCATACCATATGAACAAAGTTTCTACGAAGAAAAAGATTAATCTACGTCGATCACCTACAAATACACTCTGGATATAGTTCACTCTGATATGAAAAATCATCCTAACGTTATTATTATTATTATTTATCATTAGTCCCTTGGGTTCCTAATGGAACATGGGGCTTCAGTAGCACGTCTCCATTCCACTCTCTTCTATGAAACCTTTTGGACCTGGCTTCACGACAGCCCACAAGCTCTCATTTCCTCCTCACACGATCTCCTTCATGTCACCCTCACCACGGACGCCCAACTCGTCGCTTCCCATGGGGATTCCACTCGAGGAACTGGCCTGACGCGTGATGTCCCCAGTCGGCTTTCTCAGTGTATGCTCAATCCAATCCATCTCCACTTCCTTCCAGTGCATATTTGTTCAGCGATAGATTCTTGGTTGGTTCGTTACCCAGCCAGAGATCCTTGTTGCTTATTCTTAGTATTCTGGCCATCTGATCTACAGTGGCGAGCCAGCGTAAGCAGTTGTTGATGAATGTCTGTAGTTTACTCGAAATCCCCTTCGTAACGTGCCAAGTCTCTCTGCCATACAGGAGCACTGACTTGACTGGGTTGGTGTTGAAAATCCAGATCTCGTTCCACATGCTGAGTGCAGACGATCTCCACACTGGTTTCAGGCTAATGAACACCTGTCTTGCTGTCTTTCCGATCCTGACTTTGACGTCCTCGTCTGTGCCTGTGGCGCCTGTATTTGAGACAGTGCTGCCTAGATAAGTGAAGAAGGCTACTTCCTTTAAGTTTCTCCCGTTGATGGTGACTGGAGTTCGTTGTTGTTGTTGGAGTTGTTGATGCAGTATCTTCATCACTTCTGTTTTGTCTATATTCACTTGAAGACCCATCTTCTCTGCCCTGCCTCTTCTGTCAACTTGTTAGCTTCTGCCTGTAGATCTTCAAGTTTGTGTGACATCAGAGACAAGTCATCACTGGCGAAATCCAGATCTTCTAGGTTCTTTTCCGCAGTCCAGCCAGCCTATCCCCCTCTTCTCACAGCTCCCCACTGTTTGCTGCATGATCCAGTCCAGTCGACAACAATCAGGAATATCGTGGGGGATAGTAGGCAACCTTGTTTCACTCCTGTCTTCACTTCACTTCAGTGGCATCACTGAGCTTCCCATTGTGAATTACTTGGCTGGCATGTGGCGTCTTCATATAGTTGTTGAATGAGGCGGATAAAGGTTTCTGGCACTGAAATCGTAGTGTTGAAGCAGTTTCCAAATCACTTCTCAGTCGACGCTGTCAAGGGCCTTCTCAAAGTCGATGAAGTGGAGGTAGAGTTGAGTTGACTGCCATTCTATACTCTGTTCTATGATGATGCGTGGCTCAGCGTTGCAATTTGGTCAGCACATGATTTGTACTTCCTGAATCCAGTCAGCCAGCCTGTTCTGGTCGTAGTTTTGAATCCAGTGCATCCTCTCCAGCCTCTCCAGGATGATGCGGCTTAATATTTTGCTTGATTTGGGTGGACAGTGGAGTGATTCCGCTCCAGTTCTTGCAAACACTGAGGTCTCCCTTCTTCGTCAGTTTGACAAGATGGCCCTTCTTCCAATCTTCATGTACCTTCTCTTCCTTCCACACCTTCTGCATTAGTGTTGTGAGCATATCCGCTGTTGTCTCTGCGTCTGTTCTCAGTGCTTCTGGCGGGATCCCATCTGGCGCTGCTGCCTTCCCACATTTCAGTAGCTTTATGGCGTTGAGGACTTCCACTTTTGTTGGAGGATTTATGTTCACTTGTAGTTCTGTGGCTGGGCTGCAGGTGGTATTTCTGGACGAAGTGCAGGTGGTGGTGGTGGTCGATTCAAGAGTTTTTTGAAGTGGTCAGCCCATCCTTTCCTTTGTTTCTCTTCTTTCGTAATTAATTTTCACTCATCATCTTTTATTGGTTTCATGTGTGTTGTGATCTCTTCGATAACAGATAGTAACCTGGTTATTTGATACAATGTTGTCAGGTCTCTGTCTCTCCTACCTGCAGCCTGTTGTGCTTCACTTGCCAATGTGTCGTAGAAGTGTCTTTTGTCTTTCCGTGCACTCTTCTTCACTTCTTTGTCCAGTGTAGTGTTTCATACATTGTACTCAGTTCGTCTTGTCGTTGAGCATCCTTTCATTGGTTTATCTTCTCCTCCACTCTCCTCCTCACCCTCCTCTATCAGCTTCCATTTATTCGTCGAGATCCATTCCTGATCTTCTTTCTTCTTCCTTCCTAATACGGTTGTGCAGGTTTCTTCTCACATCTCTTTCAAAATCTTCCAGTGTTCTTCCACGCAGGTTTCTTCAGGGATGTTCCTCGATATCTCCCATCTTGTCTTGATGGCTGACTGGTGTGAAGATTTCCTTTGTAGTTTCGTCCTTCTGTTTCCGAGTGTTGTACTTGAATTGAGGTCTATCACCAGCTTCCTTGAAGGCTTCCAACTTGATTTGGCAGGTTCCTTGCACTAGATAGTGAGTGGTGTGAACCTACATCTGCTCCTCTTCTTCACCTTGTGTCAAGTAGACTGCGTCTCCATTTTCTTGAGATTGAGATAAAGTTGATTTGATTTTTAGTGTGTCTATCTGGTGTCTGGTGAAATCCATGTCGCTAGCTTTGTGGATATCCTTGTGCTTGAACACACTGCCTCACTGCAATCACCAAATCGTTGAATGCACAGAATCCTGCAATCAATTCTCCATTCTCGCTCATCACCTCACCGAGTGCTTCTCGACCCATGGTTAGTTCCCTTCTTGTGTTGTCTGCTCCCAGTTTGGCATTCATGTCACCCCACCCGTCAGAATGAGTTTTGATATCGCCAACTTGAGTGGTGTCTTGTCCAGTGTTGATTGAAGTTGTCTGTAGAATTCCTCCTTCTTCTCTCTCTCTGCATTATTTCTAGGTGCGTAGCATAGCTTTGTATGATTGTGACCTTCCTTCCTTTTGAGTTGAGTCTTGCTGTCATGATTCTGATGCTGGAGGTGATTGGTTCCCACTGCATGAGAGAGAGCCTTTGATGCTGTTGGGGACATCATGATAGCCATTCCAATACTCAGTGTTCTTGTTGTTGTCGTCTGGGTGACAATATTGGGGTAGATTATTGATTCTCCAGTTGACAGTTTGGAGATTCCACTCCCATTCCATCTGCTTACACCTCACAAATTCCAAGCACTTCAATGTGATACCTTCTCATCTCGTTTGCAATCTGGGCTGCCTTGCTGGGCTCAAACGTGGTGCGGATATTCCATGTCCCCACGTTTACTTTCGCTTTCATCGAGAGAAGTGAAGACACATCGGCCAATTGGCTTCTTGAAGGCTTTCACCAACTGGCGTCATTTGATTTGTTTTAGGGGGTAGGGTTACTAGCCCTATGCTCAACCTTCCCTCTTTACCCGGGCTTAGGCTCGGCTAGTAACCAGTGATCTAGTTAACCAGGCGAGGTTCCTAACCTTATGCTAAAAGCAAATTTACTACTGACTATAATAAAGCCTGATATTTGCCAATTGAAAATCCACTACATTTTTTTTGAGCATCACTTGGTAAAATTTCATCCACGATTGGTAAAGCTATATGAATTACGGACAAATGTATTCATTCATGAAAGACTACAACTGAAGCTTTTCACTAGAGTTATCCACTGATAGTGAATGTGCCTAAATTCAACCTCTCAGAATTTAATTACTTGTATACAAATACTCAATAAGCTCAAGGTACTCAGATGATACAGTTCTGTCAAACGAAGAAGCAGAATATTTTGCACACATTTAATGAGAGTTACACGACCATAGGAATGTGTGAAATTACCGTGTTTTCTGTGTCTTAAATGACGTATAGATATATGAGCTTTGTGACTAACTTCTTATGAACGTTAAAAGTCACAGGTGTACACAACTGCGCATATCATCTATAAAATCACCTTGTGTACAGTGATGTACCAAATTTTCTCTTCACTGTTTTAGTATCCTTTTTCTGTGACTGTGTGTCGTCGCTTACTCTTCTGTTTAGCATTCTACACAAGACTGCAAGGTATTATCTGTTTTTAGCTTCTTCTTCTTCCAAGGCATATGTACCAATGTTCACCGTAAAATAAATTTGACGAATACCAGTTGTTCTTATTCCACGATCAACTTGATAAAGTATGAAAAACTGAAATTTAGACATTTCAATATGAGTTGTCCTAAGTCTTACACTTTTTTCACAATTCTCTGTGAATGTAGCGAATTATTTCGTGGAAAATCGAGAGCATAGAATTCAAACTTGAGTACAAAGGGTCAGCAGTTTATCCAAGATATAACTTGTTCTGGAAAACCACTAGTTATTTGACATATTCTCTATACTGAAAGGTTTTACTATCTGTCAGAAAACCCCTATATTAGAAAGTAGTGACCTTATAAATAAATCTTATCTTGAACATCGTTTACCTTTGCATTGATCTTTTTTTATAGTTCAACTATAAATGACTAGTTTCAAGAAGGAAACTGAATGAAAGGGTAGGTTTATCTTTTCATTCGGTCTCTTTCTCAAACGTTCACGCCCTCTAATTT